AATAAGTCATGTTCTTGCAAAATTCTAGCATGCGATCTCCAGCGTTGTTTCTATCACCAAGGCCATGTTTTCCAATTACCAATCCTTCTTTGTTTCCAAGTTTCGCATCCCGATTGCCAGTAATTACCAGTGGATCTTGATTGCGTGATTGATCAATTTCAGACTCCTGAAGTTAGTAAAAATCTTCAGTTTCTTCATCTTTGGCCTTAGTGGTTGGGGCCTAAATTTGAGCAATAGTCATATTAACTGGTCTTCCTTGTAGGCATATGGATATTATCCTGTCACTAACAGCGTTGTACTTCAGGATAGATCTTGAAATGTTCTTTTTGATGATGAATGTGATACCATTCCTCTTCATTTTGTCCTTCTCGGCATAGTAGACCATATGATTGTCGATTGAAAGCTGAGCTCAGTAATGCTTAGGATGTCGATCTTTATGCATTCCATTTCATTTTTGATGACTTCCAGTTTTCCTAGATTCATACTTCGTACATCCTATGTTCTGATTATTAATGGATGTTTGCAGCTGTTTTCTTCTCATTTTGAGTCATGCCACATGAATAAATGAAGGTCTTGAAAGCTTTACTCCATCCACATCGTTAAGGTCAACTCTTCTTTGAGGATGCAGCTCTTCTCTTCCCCAGTCGTATTTGGACTGCCTTCCAAGCTGAGGGGTTCATCTTCTGGCACTGTATCAGACAGTGTTCTGTTGCTACTCATAGTTTTTCATTGGTCAATTTTTGTAGAAGGAGATCTCCAGGTCCTTCTTCCTAGTCTGTCTTAATCTGGAAGCTCCACTGAAACCTGTCCACCGTGGGTGACTGTGCTGTTCTTTGAAATACCAGTATTATAGCTCCCAGCATCATAGCAACATGCAAGCCACCACAGTACAACAAACTGACGGACAAGCGGTGGGCAATGAAAGTGCTACCTTTAAAATCCGAGACGCCCCTAAAATGATTCTTAAATTCTTCTACTTACAATATATATGTAAATGTAAGTGAAGGATTCAAATCAGAAAGGTAGAAATAAATAAACTAATAAACAAACACCAAGAAATCAGAAGGAATGAAATGGTAAGAGTAAAATTCATGGAATTGAAAAGGGGTGCGGGGGGACACATTGAAAACAGCAACAAAAGGCTGGCATATTAATAAGACTCCCCAAACTGCCAAATATCTTTCAGGATCTATGGAGAATAAAAGAACAATCACCTGTAAAATATGCTGCCCTCAGCAAATTCATGAAACAAATGGCAAACCCCAGAAAAAGCACACGGGATAGTTTTCTAAACCAGAACCTAACAGCCTCGGCCTTGGTTTAGCGGTGTTTCCATATTAATAAGAAGAGATGATTAATCTATTAGAAAAATTGCCAAAGGATACAAACAGGCAGTTCACAGGAAGAAGGTTACAAATCTGACCATAAATTTCTGGATAAAAAAAGAGTGAACCGCAATCGTACAACATTAAAGATACGCAAATAAAACTACCAGTGAGATAAATGTCATTTTTTTCTCTCTCAGAATGGCAAAAGTTTTAAATTTAGTAAAATTCAATACAAGGAGCTCTGGTGTTTAGTGGTTAAGCACTCAGATGCTAACTGAAGGGTCGGCAGTTCAAAAACCACCAACAGCTCCGTGGGAGGAAGATGTGGCAGTCGGCTTCCGTAAAGATTACGGACTTGGAAACCCTCGGGGGCAGTTCTGCTGGGTCTTACAGGGTCGCTATGAGTCAGAATCTACTTGATGGCAATGGCTTTCATGTGCAGTATTAGCGAAGATGGTGGGAAACACATCTCAGCAGATTTGGGCAAAGTGTATGTAAAATGCGATGTCTGTTCACGCTCTAAAAATGAAAACAAAACCCAGGAAATGGTAACAAATGAGATATAGAAGGGAGCTTTGTTAACCCAGTAAAGAGAAACATCATAGCACGGTAGTTTAAAGCATTGACTCTACAGCCAGGCTGCCTGAGTTTGAACCCTGATTCTAGCTCTTGATAGTGGGTGACCTTAGACAGTCAGCTAATCTCTCTGTGCCTCAATTTACCCGTCTGTTAAATCACCACAATAATAGTATCTACTCAGTGGATTATTATGAGAATTCAATTAGTTAATATTTGTAAAGCACTGATAACAGTACCCTGCACATAAAACCCATTGCCCTCGAGTCCATTTCGACTCATAGTGACCCTATAGGACAGAGTCGAACCACCCCCATAAAGTTTCCAAGGGGTGTCTGGTGTATTTGAACTGCCGACTTTTTGGTTAGCAGCCAAGCTCTTAACCACTGCACCACCAGGGCTCCATCTTGCACACAGTAAGTACTATATAAGTGTTTTTTTTTTTTTAGAATTAATTTCCGAAGGAAAAATTATTTGTAACAGCCGCTATGTTAATTAGCAAACTTTCTATTGGTGATCTAAGCAGTAGAAAAAGATAAAGACAGTTGTAGCACCATAAGTTACAGCTTCTGGAGTTATGAGTTCTGACTAAAGTCTTTTCGTTGCCGGCTAACCACGGATTCCGACTCATAGCGACCCCACAGGACAGAGTCAAACTGCCTCATAGGGTTTCCAAGGAGGGCCTGGTGGATTCGAACTGTCGACCTCTTGGTTAGCAGCCGAACTCTTAACCACTACACCACCCAGGTTTATCCTGATAAACTAGAGGGTCAGCGAAAAGGAGGGACATCCTCAATGAGACGGACTGATGTGACACCATAGTCACAACAGTGGACTCAGACATACCAGTGGTCATCAGGGTGGCACAGGACCAGGCAGCGTTTCTTTCTGTTGTACATGAGGTCGCCATGAGTCAGAACCTAGTCAGAGGCAGCCAGCAACAGCAACAACGCGTGCTGGAGTGTACTGTAGTAAATCCTGCAGGTGGCATCACACAGGCGGATCCTTTGTTTTTGGCAGATGTGGCAGATACCTCAGGAGGGGAGGGATTTCATAAATAGTCCCGATTATCCGTAAATACGAGACAGAATTGCAACACTACCATATATATTAGGTGAAAGTAAATTCTAGCTGGATTAAAGATGTAAATGTGAATAACAAAATTTTAAAACTTTGAAAAGAAAATATAGGAGACTAACATTACGGCCTTGGGGTAGAAAGGGTTTATTAAGAAACAAAAGAAAAAAAATTAAAAAAAAATTTTTGACTAGTATAAAATTAAAAACAGGTTTATCAAAAGACCCACACCCTCTCACCCAAAAAAGGAGTGTAAAGATAAGCCACTGATGAGGGAAGATATTTACAATACTGATAATGAGGGTTATTACTCAGAATATATCAAGAACCTAGAATGATGGAATAAGAGACAAAATTCAACATTGAAATCAGGCAAATGGTATTAATAGGGATTTCCCAGAAGTGAAAACCAGAATGAGTAACAGTAAAATCTGAAAAATGCTTACTCTTATTGATAGAGAAATGGAAATTAAAACAAGTATGCAAAAGAATTTCGTATGTATCGGATTGACAAAGATTTAAAAATCTGACAGCAATAAATTATTTTTACAGTATGTGAAATGGGAATTCTAATTCCCTGATGTTGGAATTACTGTTCGGTAATACTTTTTGCAGAGTTATTGAGCAATATGTAATAAAGTTGAAGATATACATATATAAAGAGAGAGAGGCATTGATTCGAGTTAGATACGCCGTGGAATTCTGTTACGTCTATGGTGTTTTGTTTCTTAACGGAAAGCGTTTTGGAGGAAATATGGCAAGATGTTAATGCTTGTTAAATGTGGGTGGTGATTACATGGGTGTTTGCTTTGAAGTGTTTCATTTATTTATTCCTTTTTAAAGATTGAATTCCAGAGTCATTCACAGGAACAGAGGCACTGGACAAAGTCCAAGAATAGTTCGTGTACATGTCCACCCTGTCAGTTGAGACTTTAATTCTAAGGAACATAACATGAGAAGATCAGCAAAGAAGGAGTGGACTTACCTAATCTGCCTAACTCTACTAGTCTAAGTTGTTTTGCCTAGGGCTTGATCTACTTTAATACTCAGTGACAAGAACCCTGAATCTTCACTTTCTTTTTATTGCTCTGATACATGGTTATAATATCATGTTACCAAAAAGGGCAGCCAACTGGAAGCAAAAACTATTTATTCAGTTTGTGTCATTCATAAACTGAATGGCTTAAACCAGTAACAAATAAAAATAACTTTATATGAAGCTCAGCCAATTCACGTAGTGTATATATGAATGCAAATATCTACAGTGAATGCCGTCATTTCTTTGTCCACTTTGGCATTTCTTGTCCCCTGCGTGGCTAGTCTCGGTGTGCAGGAAGAGTTCTTATCACCACACATTGGTGTGCCTGCGCTCCATGACCCGCATAAACTCTACTCCTGTATCAGTTGAGCATAATTATCAGAGGTCATCCCTAGACTATTGACACCGTTACTGTTTGTTTCTGTCTTTACTTGGAAATTGTTGCATGAATGGGCATCCAAATGAAATGTCATTTATTTTGATAATACAGTTCTTTGTATGCCACATGCCGCTGTTAAATGAATTGATTATGTGGCCATTAACAGTCTACTGCTCTGATTTTCTCTCCTCTTAGTCACTAAGTAAGAAATGTCAAGTGTAGATAACATAGGGATAAAGTGGAACATTTACACCGTTGTCCATGAGTAAAATAACAATAATTTTAAAACCAAGGATTTAACTTTCGTATCTTCAATGCTTCTTTTTTTTATTCTAATCGTAATTGCTCAAAAAGGAGAAAAGAACTGAAACAATGTGTCTGACAGTTGACACAGTGCAGTTAAAATGAGTCTTATTTTTCAGAAGCAAGAAAATCAGTTACCCCAAGGGTAATTAGCAAAGCACATTTTACTTTAGGATCAAAGCAGTTTAAAATATACACATACGGGTTTCTGTGACGAGGGGGCAAGAGGAGGGGACTGTCTTTAAACTTCCAATCCGGTACTTATCTAAAAAAAGAAAAAATTAACCTTTCTTGGCAGGTTTAGATCCAGATAAGCATCTTGGAAAAACCCTGGATCAAATGGAGCCTCATCTCTTAGAGGTAAGAATTTACACTAGTTCTCCAAATACAGGCATCCAAGGAGGAAAAGATGTGCCCTGATATCATGATCATAAAATCAACTTTGTTTTAGAAACAGATCAGCTGCTTTCATGATATATTTTTGTGGAAAAAGATTAAACTTCTAATGAATATGAGAATATATATTATGAAAATTCTTACTAGCTTTTATGAGAATATATATTATGAAAATTCTTACTAGCTTTTTTGCTTGAATGTAAGAGTGAATAAGCCATACCTAAAAGGAAATTGTTCTGTCAGAAAGTTTACTTTTATGAAAATGGACATTATGTGCCATTGAAAAAGAACCTTAGCCCTGAAGTATCTGCTGATCTCTGTGATCAGATGCTTTGTCCTCAGAAACATGACTGGAAACTTCCTTTAGAGGTGATCACATCTAATCTCCTCTCTTTACCAATCAGAAGATGAATTTACAGAATAGTAAAGAGACGGTTCCAAGGATTCAGATTACAACGTTTAACCCTTATCATTGTCAAATCCTGAGTGTTCTAAACCTTAAAGATTCAGTTATTTTCATTTAGTCTTTTCTATTAACTGTATTGTATATTATTATATTTTGGGGGCAAATATGATGATTGGTATGGCAATGCCTCATGAGCTAGAAGAGTATATTATTAAAGTTTAATATTCCACCATCATGATGGAAAGAATCAACCTACTTCTCTGAAAGAACAGAACTCCTCCAGTGAGTCATCATATCCCGGTCCCATTTCTTAATTCATCGGCGTTGTCTCCAGGCGGGTTCATACCATCACTAGGCTAGAAACTGTTAGCAGTTACAGTCCTCGCTGACTTTATGGGTTTCACGTTTTCTTTCAGGGTTATTTCTAATTGATTATATTATGATTTATCAATATATACCAAGTGCCCAGGAACCCTTGAAATATTAATTCCTTCTTTCATTAAGCATTATTAAGCACCTAATATGTGCCAGGCAGATAGTTAAGATTAAAAAGAGAAAACTGAAATGATTATATAATTGTGACGGATTATATTTGGTATCTAGATGGTTTGCTGTCACGTGTTTAAGACTGCCTGCAGGGTAGGGCTGCCTCCCATGCCCTCTGTTAGGACCCTTCTCCCAGTTCTTTGTCCTGTGGCCACCGTTACATCTATGTTCACATCTAGTCACTACCCGCTAACTACATTTGTCATTGTTATTAGGTGTCATCAAGTTCAGTTCTGACCCACGGCTACCCTGTGTACTACAGAACGAAACACTGCCCGGTCCTACGCCATCCTCACAATCATTGCTGTGTTTGAGCCCATTGTTGCAGCCACTGTGTCAGTCCATCTCGTTGAGGGTCTTCCTCTTTGACACTGACCCTCTACGTTACCAAGCATGATGTCCTCCTTCAGGGACTGTTCCCTCCTGATAACACATCCAAGTCTCTCCATCCTTGCTTCCAAGGAGCACTCTGGCTGTACTTCTTCCAAGACAGACTTCTTCGTTCTGGCAGTCCGTGGTATATTCATTCCGTATTCTTTGCCAGACATTTTAATTCAAAGCCATTAGTTCTTCTTCCGTCTTCCTTATTCGTTGACAGAATTTAGCTTCTGCCAAAACAGTGTAGGTAAGTAATTAAATTTATGGGAAGTGAAAGAAAGAGAACTTTGGAAACGAAAGAGTGATTTTGGCAAAAGAGCTTCTTCTAAGCTGTCTCTAAAATCTGGAGTTAGGGGTTCAAATATGATGTATGTAGAAATTCTTTATAAGAAAAGCAAGTAAGACTTTGGGGATTGCCAGGATGTTGGTCATGAGTTGACTCGTGTATTATCATAGAATATTTAAAAACAAAAGTGCAGAAATGGTTTAATTCAACCCCAGCTCCTTCCTCAACATGGTCTGGCAATGTTTCTCCCTTGAAAATTTCTTTCTCCATTCTCTGTTCAGGCTATTCCATTTCTTCTCTGCTCTCCTCAATTCTGAAATCACTTCGCCTTTCCTCTCACTTTGAGTGGATGACTTGTCTTCTTCTTCACAGAAAAAATAGAAGCCATCACACTATAAATCTTTCTTCCCCCAGCACCACACCTACCAACCTATATGTGCCCACACCCGTCTTGCTTTCTATAACAGTGGGAGAAGTGTCCTTTCTCGTGTCTGTGGCTCATCCCGGACCTGTGCCCTAGATCACATCCCCGCTTGCCTTTTCAGGGACCTCACAGTCATCCCCCCGCCTCCAGTATCTTCAGCATCTCTCTCTATTGTCTTTTTCACATCAGTGTTGAAACATGTCCAGGCCTCCCCAACCTAGACATCCCCTCTCTCCACTCTGGTTCTTTCTCTAGCTACCTCTCTTTCTTCTCTTCAAAACTAAAAAATGTTTAAAGAGTTCTCTACATTCCTTATCTGTGCTCCTTCATATCTCAGATCCTTCACGTACCTGGAGCCTGACTTCTGCCTCTACCTCTGAACGGCTTCCGCTCTGACCAAGGTCACCCACAGACTCTATCATCATAGTTGTAGATACCCCTCCCTTCTTAAAACGCTTCCATTGACATTCATGCTGCTCTTCCCTTCTTATCGTTATTTCTTAGTCTCTTTTGCCAACTCCTAGTCTCAGTTTTCTTTTCAATCTATAAACTTTTTGTGCATGATCTCAGTCACTCCCATGGTTTTAATGACTGGTTCAGTTCTGATGACTCCCAGATCTTTCTAGCCCTGATTTCTCTGCTAAGCTCTCGTGCCCAAAGGCACCACAAACTAAACCTCTGCAAACTTGATTGTGGCTTTTATGTCCATTGCTTTCTGCCATGTCTTTAATTCAGCCTAGGGTATTGCTGACACCCTCAGATTTACCTCTTCCTTCTATTTTATTTCCTAAAGAAGTAATTTTGCTGGTTGAATGGACACGGGAGATCCAGGGTGGAAAGGAGGAGTGTGCTGTCACAGTGTAGGGAGAGCAACTAGGGTCACATAACAATGTATGTATAAATTTTTGTATGAGAGACTAACTTGAACTGTAAACTTTCACTTAAAGCACAACAATAAAAAAAAATTTAATTTTGCTTACTGCCTCAAGATAATTGTTCTAATGTATATTATACTTTGTGTCACTCACTTCAGAACTTTAAATGAGACCCATTGCCTACAGGATAAAATCCAAAATTGTTATACACTTCTCTTTCCTTCTCACGCGGTATCCAACCCTTTCACAAGTCTTACCTGCTCCAGAATGTATTCCAGTTCCACGCACTTCTCACTGTCTGCACTGCTGTCACCAGGCCATAATCATCTCTGTCCGGACTACTGCATCAGCTCCTAACTGATCTCCCTACTCACACTGTTGGCCTTCACGGGTCCATGCCTCATACAGATGCCAGAGTGATATTTTTTCAAAAGTGTAAATCAAATCATATCATTCCTTTGCTTAAAATTTAAATGGCTTCTCATTGCAATTAGAATAAAATCCAAACTCCTGTGAAATCCCAGCCTGTGAGACCCTGTATGAGCAGCCTCCTATCAATCTTTTCAGGTGCTTCTGTTACCAGTCTCCCTCCCTCCCTCACAGATCCATAGCCACATATACCTCCTTATTGCTTAAACACACTTTGTTCCCCATTTTTCTCCTTAAGGCTTTCTTCTGACTGAAATGTGCTTTCTTCAGGTCATCACATGGTTAGTGCCGTCACTTAACTTAAGTGACAGCTCAAATGCCACCTCCTCAGAGAAGCTCTCCCTGACTACACTAACTAAAGCACACCTCTCCAAATTAATCCTGTCTATCTGTTTACGTTTATGTTGTCTGCGTCGCCCCACTACAATTTAAACTCCAATAATCTTGATAAGATTTTGGCAAAGAAATTAGTTCTTTAGTTCTTTCATTCAGTTGTTTGTTTATCTGTCCATCTACCATCCACTCATCTGGTATTTAAATTATGTAAGAAACATTTATTGAAGGGCTGCTATGTGACAGATCTTATGTGAGCACTAGGTATACATAATGAAGTAAACAAATGTCCTTATTCTTGAGAAGTTTACTGTCTGCTATAGTTGTTTTCAGACTTAAGGGTACTATTCAGAGTGGAACTGCCCCACAGGGTTTCCAGGGAGCGGCTGGTGGATTTGAACTGCCAACCTTTTGGTTAGCAGCCGAGCTCTTAACTACTGTGCCTCCAGGGCTCTACAGTTCACTGGGGACCTGTGTAAAAAAGAAAAAAAAAAAAAATGAGTATTTCCTTTTCCTACTCAAGAGATTTCAGTTTAGAAGGTCCAGGAATCCGAACTTTAAACAGGTACCGGGTAATTCTGACGCAGTGGTCAAGTATATGATTGTCTGGTTTTTAAGCACCAAAGACATGTGTCTGGCTCTAGATATTGCTGAAACAGCGTATGCCTTCTTGAAATTGTCATCCATTGTCTTCTGTGTTACCACTCACTCCTGAAATCTTTTTAAGAGCTATTTGTCAGCTTCCTTTTTCAGACTTCCCATATACAGTCCACCCCTTAAATGTTGTGGTTTCATCCACAGCCTTCCACCTGGGATGATCTTATACATCTTCATAACCGCAGCTACAAATTGTATTCTAATGGCAATTAGGGATGTTCCTCCATCATTTTCCTTTGTTCTAGATATACATAAAGGCCCCTAGGTGGTGCAAACCATTTTCGCTCAACTGCTAACCTAAAGATTCAAACCCTCCCACCATTACTGCGGAAGAAAAGTCCAGGTGATCTGCTTTAGTTAAAATTATAGAAAAGGAAACCCTGTGGAGCAGTTCTACTCTGTAACACACGGAGTTGCAGTGAGTTGGTGTCTTAGTTATCTAGTGCTGCTGTAACAGAAATACCACAAGTGGATGGCTTTAACAAACAGAAATTTATTTTCTTACAGCCTAGGAGGCTAGAAGTCCAAATTCAGGGGGCCAGCTCAAGGGGAAGGATTTCGCTCTGTCGGTTCTGGGAGAAGGTCCTTGTCATCAATCTTGCCCTGGTCTAGGAGCTTCTCAGCACAAGG